AAACTAAATATAGTTTAGTAAAAAGCACATAATAAAATATCTGTGAAAAGTGTAGAAAAACTGATTATTTTAGCAACTTTGGAGAATTCCTAAGAATTCTTATTTCTCATTCCCAACTCCTGAAGATGAATATTTGTTGGCGGTCTGGAACCACTATTTCAGAGTCCTCATGCAGCTGTGGAAACGGCCTGACTTCTGGAGTATAGAGGTCCTCAGGCCTCTGATGCACAGAAGAGCTCCTGCCGCCCACTTCGCAGTTGTTTCTAGAGTGGTGTTTCGTTTATATTTTTTCCTAATTGTATTTCTGAGTCTGAATTAGGATTTCTGGAAACAACAGCCTGTTGTATTACTAATGCTTAAACAACACACTACTTTTGTCTTCTCATTAGTGCAGATACATTTTCAGAAGTAAAAGAAAGTTCTAAAGGTCCAAATTAATATGTTTACTTATTTGCTGAGCAAGTCCATGTGCGAAGGGTCAGCCATATTCCTAAGTACCAGGAACACAAAAATGATTAAGACCCAGTCACTGCCCTTGAGGAATTTCTAGTATATTAAAAACAGTGGGCACAAAAAGAACTGCTTCATACTGTAGTGAATATCACAGTTGTGTCTTAACAGGGTATAATGTTGGAGCAGTGTCATGGTTAATTCTACTTGGGGTAAGGGTCACAGGGTCAGGAAAGACTTCACAGAAGGCAATTAATTTGAAACTTGAACAAGGAGTAGATGTTTGTGATGCAGGTGGAACACATTTGCCCAGTCCTAACGATAGGATGGAATGGTAGGGGGAAGTGGTATGGGCAGGGCAAGGGTGGCATCCAGGATGGGCTCCAGGCTTCTAGCCTGAGTGCCCCCATGTGCTGGTGGAAGAATAGTAACCTCTTAACCCTTGGTCAAGTTTAATCAGGGTCCTTGCTTGGAAACGCGTCAGAGAGCATGTCCAGAAGCAATCACAGGGCCCTGGTGGAGGGGGAGTGTGTCCTGACCACCTGCAGAGGGTCCCAGCAGTGTTTCTGGTGAGCTCATGTTTGAGCAGGGCCTTGAAGAAAGCAGGATGGAGGAGAGAGGTGTGGGTGGGAATGAAGGTATGTCAGGTGGAGGAAAAACACACATGATGCACAGAGGTCCATGTTGGGCTCTGGGAAACAGCTGAGGGTGGCTGGAGCAGAAATTGGTGGTGGTCATGGGTGTGTGTGTGCGTGCATGCACACATGTGTGAGCATGTGTATTGGGGAGGGGAGCAGAGCAGACAGTGAACCTGTGAAGGTAGGCTGGGGTGGGTAACACCCAGACTTGTAGTGTAGATCACAGGACATGGGGAGAAGATGGAGGTTTTAAGCGTGGGAGTCACATGATCAGATTTGTACTTAAGAATCATTCCCCTGCATTAACAACATAAATGCTGGGAATTTAGGTAGACTTTGTAAAAAGCCTCATAATAAGCAGTTGAACAAAAGGGGGTAAGAAACGCCAGTGATCTGCTGTCTGTCTTCCCTCCAGCAAGGAGGGCTTGTAGGTTGGGATTGTCCACCTGATACCATCAGCCTGTCAGAGGTGTGGCTGCCCCTCAACGCCAGCCGGGCAGGGATGGAGCTAGGGCCTCCTGGCCCATGGGAGGCTGACAGGACATGCCTCCTAGAATAAGTTGCTTGTGTCACCCCAGTTGATGAATATCTGTAACATTAGGCATAGCAATCCCATCAATACACCTTCATCCGATTTCACTCTTCGTTGACTCAAGAATCAAAATATCTTGTTAGAAATCTTAGCCCCTTCCCTAGATAGGGTTGGTTATTTTTTATGATATGCACTGAATTGTGGGCATTGAAATGCATGCACAGTAGATGGGGGCATTATGCCTCCTTAGGCTCCACATATATGTTACTTTACATTCTTGGCCTCTGGACAGAGACCTCAGAATTGGGTGCCATCTCCACTATAGTCCTACCTAGCTGAGATAAGGAACAGCTGGCTTTGCCCCAGCCTAACAGGTATGCTTGTTGCATGAGAATTGGGAAAATTCAGGGCTTGGCCTTTGTACCCACAATGTCCTAGGAGAGGTCAAAGGTGGTTCTACCTGGGCATGATCCATGAGCACCTGATAATCAGGTAGACTGAGCCTGCTCCTCGGCAGGTGTAGAGCCAGGAAGAATGTTTCAAAGGAGCGTTCTTTGTAAAACTGAACCCTGGTAATGAAAGTACGGATGCCAGAGTAAGAGATTGAAATGGCCCCAGATCAGTACAGTGGTTTCCTGGACAACTTATGCAATAAGCATACGATGTAACTTGGCCATATTTCTCTATGACGCTGGGTAAGTTACTTCCCCTCTATGTCTTTAATTCTTCACTTACAAAATAAAGTTGTTGGATTAGAGTAGTTTAAAGGTGTTTTCTGGTTCTGAAATTCTGTAATTTTGTAGTCAGCACATAGGGTCTCTCATCCATACCCAACAGGGATATCTTGAGCGTCTGGATGCAGCAGGCCCTCTGGCAGCCTCGCCTCCTGCCTCTCCTTAATGAACTTACCTTAATGGTGAAGTTCAGGTCCAGAGACAGAGGTGACTTATTACTAACTAGTGATTGACAGCTGGTTCCATCTTTTTCTTCAAAGCGATCGGCTCAGTGTTTACTTCTCCCTTGCCTACCTTTGGCTAAGCTCCGTTAGGCTTTTCTCCTCTGGGGCATCATTGCACATGGTTACGTCCGCTCCAGCAAAGCTGCCTACTCTCTGGACTTTATAGCCCCTTTCTGGGAACTCATAACAAGGATTGCTTTAGCTGTGGGCATGCACACTGGGGACTGACCCAGGAGAGGGGCTGCCAGATGCTGGAACTTTTTACTGAATTTGTGATTCATTATCAGTTTCAGACAATCTGCTGTGCGGATGATGATAAATGTGTGGTGTCCTGCTGGAGGAATCATGTACTCTAAGATTAACCCCATGCTGACAGCCCGTTCATCCACTGTGTGGAGCCCCACCCACCAGCCCTTTGCCCGTAGTCCAGAAAAAAACCTGCAAGACTAAAAAGTATGTTTGGTGAAGGATAATAGGAGAACTCATGTCCATGGTATTTAGAAATGCAAAAGACAGATTTTTATTTTTAATTCCAAACAGAGGGCAAGGCCAAGGTGAGGAGCTGCTATAGGAGCAGTGAGGTGTTGGAGAGAAGGCCCCCGGTGACACACGTGTGGGTGCTCGCAAAGGATTTTCAGGCTAGCAATCTAGGTGGGACTGAGGTGGACTGAAGAAGAGGGACACATCCCTGGACACTCTGTAGCTGTGCAGATACTGTCGCAGGTCTCACAGCCAATCAGCTCCTTGACTCCAGGCAACACTTTTGTTCCCTTTGCTCTTCAGTTTCCCCCAAGAGTAAAGCAAGCAAGTTGAACTAGGTGATCTCCAAGGGGTCTTGTGGGACTTTCTTCTTTGGTTTCTTGGTCAGACAGGCTCAGCCCTATGGCCTGCTCAGTCTGGCATCCCTAGGCCCCAGGTGCTGTGCTGGGGGTATGTGCTGATCCTCTTTGATGTCATCCTCCAAGGTGGTTCTCCAAACACACCTTCCTCCTCTCATTGCCTCCCTTAAATTGGTAGAGCAGGTTTGAGGTAGGATCAGAACCACACTGGTGAGTGCTCTTTGCTTTATTACCTTTCTTTGTTGCTCATTTTCCTTCATTTGCAAGAGGGTAGGTTACCCCAGATATCAAACCTGAGCTCCTGGGGGACTGGAGGTTCATTCCTTTCTCTGGTTCCATGTATTCCTTGGAGGAATTAAGTGTCATTCCAAACCTAGGGTCCAAGGATACAGTCACACGTTTCTGCAGCAATGATAATTTCATCCTGTCTACCCCCATCTATCAGGGCAAATAATAGTTGTAATAATAATAGATACCATTTTTATTGTTTCCTATTTTATAGGCACTCTATCGAGTAGATGCAGCAGCTCATTTAATCTCTATAATATCCACTGGAACTAGATTCTGTTTTCCCCTGTTTTACATAGGAGGAAACTGGTATTTACAGGCTTAAATATCTTACCGAGTTTACACACTGTGTAACTGGCAGAACTGAGATTTGAACACGTGCTTTCTGACTCCAGAGCCTCGATGCTAACCACCTTGCAGGACTGCCAGTGCCAAACATTCCAAGGGCACAGTAATTACGTGATCAATGGGCAGTCCAGAGACACGCCCAGGGCCAGGGCTGTGGGAGTCACTCTCAGCGGTTTGCTGGGAGGGCAGCTTCAGCTAAGAGGGAAAAGGTGGCAGTAACTGCAGACCTTTATTTTCGTGGTTTACGATACAGTGATGGGGTTCCTTCCGTGGACATAAGCCATCCTAATAGCGCCATTTATCATTATGACAAAGGTTAGAATGAGGGGAAACTGGAGCTGGAATGAAAGAGTAGAATTCTGATTATTTTAACAGTTGAAAGTGACATCACCTCAGAACCTCTATCAAATGGCGAATTGGAAACTGGACTGAAATTGCTTTAAAATATATCCAGAGGTAGTTTTCTACAGCTGTGATAAAGTCTTTCAGTTGTGTATGGAGAAGCATTTTGTCTACAGTGCTCATGGAATCACCTGTGTGTCGTCCAAGCAAAAGGTGCCTGTGAGCCCCAGAAAAGTCTGTCTTGGGTGCTGCGCCATGATGTGCCGCATCCGGCATTGGGGCTGTTTGTGCCGTACTCCCCCACTGGGTTTTTTTTTTAATGTTTTGTAAATGTCTTTCCATGTCAATAAGAAATGTTTTTCATGGCTATATTGTTCCCCGTGGTCCATCTGGGGGGTTGAACCTGGGCTTCTAGGACAAAATCCCCTGCCTCCTGTCAAGGAGTTGGAGCAAATGAGAATGCTGGCTAAGGGCCCTCTGAATTCCCTGCCTGTTTGACTAGCCTTTATTTATTTATTTGGCCTTTTATTCTGGGAACTTAGAGGAAAGCCCCATAGTTCTCAGGGTAGGGTTCGATTAACTCATATCTTTTTTCTCATCCTTAGGCAAAAGAAAGGGAACATGCCCCATAAACACTGGGTTGGACCTTCGAACCTGGTCAAGTGCAAGCCCTGCCCTGTGGCACTGTCCCCCATGGTCTGCGGCTCCGATGGCCACACCTACACGTCCAAGGTCAGTCTTCTTTGTTGTCTTTTTGGTCATCAAAAGTACCCCATGTCAGCTCATCCTGATAAGTCTCTGTGCCGAAACTGGAGCTCACAAAGCTTGCTGGGCTCCAGGCCTTGCCTCCAAGAAGCTGCTACATGAATAGACTCAGAGATATTCTCTAGCCAAAGATACAGGCAAGACAGAAATGTTCCATCCTACATAACTGGGCTGGTTAAGGGAAAAGGGTGGTTCTGAGAGTGGCCCATGATCCTGAAGTTGATCTAGATGAGCTTCCTGTAGATGGAAACATAGAAATCTGTTCAAAAGATGCAAGTCACGTGGCTTGGCTGACGGGAGCAAACCAGTAAGGGAGGCTGGGGGTTGCTGCTTTGTGGTCAGTGCAGCGGAAGGAAGGAGTATGGTATCGGCGTACATTTAATCTGTACTTACGGCACAGATAGAATGCGCCCAGCCCTGTGCAGGCTGCAAATAAGGCATCATTTCTTTCTCAGGGTGGTGTAGTGGGGACTTTTGGGGCTCACGGTCTAATGGGGCAGGGGCGAGTATGGAGACAGGTCATTTTAATTCAAACCAATGGAAAGAACACGATTGGACAGAGAAAGGGGCTGGGGCCAGGTGGGTCTGTGTATTATAGGAGGGCTAAGGAGAAGCTTCATGGAGGAGAGGTGTTTCATCTGGGGTTTAATAATAAGATTTACAGACAGGGAGTCAGGGATCACGTTGGTAGATAAAGGAAATGACTATCTGTTCTTGGAATTTCACTCTACTTGGGATAAAGTTGTCCATTTATCTTTGAGAATAGGGACATAATAATGAATTACAAGGAAACCACAGAATCAACTAGAATTTGCTTATTCATTCTCTTATCTAACAGCTATAAACCAAGCACCCCCTTAGCGTCTGACACTGTGATTAGCATGGAGGAGCTGGTGTGCGGGTCTGTGTGTTAGGGTTGCTCTCAGAGCCTCCAGCCAGAGCTGCTCCACTTTCCTCTGTCTTCTTGCTTTTCCATGTAAAGTTTCACTTGCAGAGTGGAGTCTGTGGCTAAAGAGAGTTGCTGTAGGGGATGCCCTGGTCACTCCCAGCTACACTGCCACATGGTTCTCAGGCCTTTCTGCTCGGCCCCTTCTTGCCGTTCCCCACTGCACAGATCGTTAGTGGCTCCTGTTGTCTGTGACGCCCTCACCACCCTGACCCTCACACCACGGAGAGGCCACGGGCCCGGGAGCACCCTCACTGCCTGCTGTCCTCACAGGCTTATTCTGGTTATTTCGAGACTGTGGCCACTTTTCCCTACTGATTATGTGATGTGTAGGTCATATATTTTTATATTTTTGTTCACTGACAGAGTTTTAGTCTCCCAGATGTTCACATTTCTAACAAAGGTGAATATAGCTCACAAAACAGGAGGCTTGGTGCTGTGTCTGGGTTGTACTGAGACCCATGGAATTGGCTTTTGGAACTCAGTGGCATAATTATTGCTTGATTGGTTCCTTTGTTCATTCATGAAAAACCATTTGAGCTCTTACTATGTTACAGGCAATGTGCTAGGTGCTGGGGAAACTCAGAGTAGGAATTTAAAAGCTGTCTGTTCTTCATTGCCAGAGTCAGCAATCCTAAACCTCCCCGCTCCAGACCCACCCTGTGAGTTAGACATTCTCTGCTCAAGGTCCCAGCTGGCACATCCTGGCTACATGGCCACAGCCCTCCTCAGCGCCGCTCAACTCAACCTGCCCTTCCCCTTACTCTCCTTGACCCCCAATAGAAGCAAAGTCTGAGATCATTTGTACTTACAGAGCTCATCTCTGATCCCCTGAATGTTCTGGAGTACTGGCTTTAAAGGGGACACTGATGAATCATTTCTATGCCCTACCATTCCCAAAGGCAGATCAGGCCATGGTTGTCTTTCACGTGGGGCCCGGATCCTAGGCATGTAAGCAGACGCCTGGGAATCCTGTTCAAATGCCGATTCTGATGCAGCAGGTCTGGGCTGGGGCCTGAGATTCTGTATTCCTAAAAGTTTCCAAGTTGTGGCCGTGCCAGTGGGCCACAGACTATGAGCAACAAGGACATCAGTTTTTTTTTTTTTTTTTTTTGAGACCAGGTCTCGCTTTGTTGCCCTGGCAGAGAGCAGTGCCATGGCGTCAGCCTAGCTCACAGCAACCCTCTAAGCTCCTGGGCCAAGCAATCCTGTGCCTCACGCCCTCCCCAAGTAGCTGGGGACCTGCAGGCCATGCGCCACCATGCCCGGCTAATTTTTTTTTTTGCATATTAGTATATATATAGTATTATTATAGTATCTAGTTTGCCAATGGAATTTTCTTTCTGTTTTTAGTAGAGATGGGCGTCTTGCTCTTGCCTTCGAGGCTGGTTTCGAACTTCTGACCTCGCCGCCATCCGCCGCCTCGGCCTCCCAGAGTGCTAGGATTTCAGGCGTGAGCCACCACGCCCGGCCAGGACATCAGTTTTATAGGCGCCTCCAACTAGGTCTCCAGGCGGCCCCTTCGCGTACCCCAAAAGTGCATTTCCACATCAGAGAAGATTATATTCTGTAATAAAGTCTGTGTGTCTCCCTGCGTGAAATGCCCGCTGGCCCTCCCTGCTGCTGGAGCTAAGCTCAGACTCTGTCGTTACTCACAAAGCCCTCCCCAGAGTCTGTCCCTTCCTACCTCACAGTCCCTTATCATAGATAGGACGTCCAATCATTCATTCAGCAGCTGTCTCTTCCACACTTTACAGCTGTTCCAGGCACTGTGCATAACGTGGGAACCAGACCAGATACCGTTCCTGCTCACTTGGAGATTGCCATCTGCTAGGGGAAAGAGAAATGCATACGTAACCAAGCAGATAAATATGCAATTGCAAATTGTAGTAAGTGTGCCAGAGTACGGTGCTGAGGGGTGGGGAGAGGCCTTTGCTTTGGGGATGGTGTGGAGGTGAGAAACATAGCACGGCTGTGGCAGCGAGGCAGCATGAGAACTGAGAGGGGCCCCTGTGACTCCCAGGGTGAGGGGAGAAGCACACAAGTTGAGGGGGAGAGGAGGATAGGTCCTAAAGAGGGGGCATTTTAGCC